CAGATGGAGCTGGGGCCTGATGCACCTATGTAAGTGCACCTGGCCAGTGCAAATGGAAGGCCACAAACAAGTTTCTAAATATATAAAAATTTAAGTTAAGCTGAGAGATTACTCAATAAAGTAGACTCCCACTCTCTTACTTTGACAAATACACGTGTATTCACATGCTGGGCTTCTGTGCTATTACAGTGGAGCTACTCGCACCTTTGGCCCCCTAACCCCACCTTCCGGCCACCTGAGCTCCCCCAGAGGCAACTCTTCTCCAACCTGCCCTGCTTTGCTGAGGATGCCTGCCTGGCCTGCCCAGCAGGTGTGCATAAGCCCTTCACACCAACCCTGGACCGAGGGCAATGGCATGTGCAGCTCAGTCTACACTCAGTGGGATCAAGGGGAACCAGGGCCCGCCAGCCTTGGAAATAGGCTGAGGTCACTTGGAAGGGCAACTTAGGCTCAAGAGAGGGTGAGGAGCAGATGAGACTCCTAACTCCAGGGCACTCTAAGGGACACTCAAAGCTCAGAAAGTAACTGGGGGCTCCCAGAACAGGGGACCTCATGCTTGGAGCCCGAGCGATGGTGATAACAGAGACTTCTACCTGGTGCCCAGGAGGCCCGCAACAAGCAGGAATCTACCAGCGTTCTAGCATACTCACTGCCCTCATGGTCAGCCCCAGGGGCACTGCAGTGGCTGGGCCAGGAGCTTATGAGGGGAGCAGAGAGAGGGATGGGCCAGGACCTAGGGGAGGCTGAGCTGGGACGCTGCAACAGCAGAGGCCTCAGGAACTGGGGGTTGTGGGGCAGAAGGAAGATAGAAGACAGGGAAAGCAGGATTATGGCGGGTGAGGGTAGGGAGAGCTGGCACCAGGGTGAACCTGGGGAAGAGCCAGAGTGAGAAACCTAAAGGGACTCGTGGAGGCCCAGGGATCTGGGAGACGTGAGCAGCTGCACATCGCTTGGGTGGGAGGAGGCCTGGAAGAGGGGGAGCCAGGTCCTGAGCAGAGACCCCCAAAGCCAGAACAGGTCAGTTCCTCCAGAAAAGTCCTCGGCTGCCCCACCCCTACTCGGGTTATACACGGGTGTTTCCTCTTTGAGGCAGGAGCCTTGGCCCAGCCTCCTGCCCCCCTCCTCCCCAGGGAGAGACAAACACTCTTGATAAATGGAGTGTTCCCACCTCCATGTCGTCAGATGCTCAGAATCCCACAAAGGCTCCACTGTGCATCCACTCTGCCCCTCCTCCACTTCCTCCTCCTGTCTGGGGGGGCTAGGAGTGCCTCCTTTTCCTGGGGTGTCACACAGGAGGCTTGAGCAGGAGGTATAAACAAGCAGGGTGATCCCTTGGCTTCCCAGAGGTTGTGTTCACCTCCCACCTGCTGCCCAGCCCCTCCTACTGGTCCAGGAGACAGCTGGCTGGCATCATAAGAGGTCATTTCATGAAAGTCTCCCTAGCTTTCCTTCCTGGAAGCATTGAGGCAGGCACTTTCACAGCTGAAAATGGGGTGAGGCCAATGAAGCCATGGAGGCATAGGAGCTCAGGACCATGTGCTACAGGCGGATGGAGGGAGGACAGGTAGACCCGGGGCTTGGGAGGCTGTAAGGCATGCCCCAGAGATGCCCAGGCAATGAGGACACTGGGTTGCATGCACGGGAGTTGGTGCTGTTGCCACCTCTGCCTCTCTCCCACAGGAGGGTGGAGATGTTCCTGAGTGCTCTACACGAGAGCTCTGGGCCCTGCTGGGAGGGGTGGTCTTGGGCCTGGAACAGCATGGGACACGCCCTGCCCTCTCCCAGGAGCCCATGTGAAAGTACAGATGCAGATGTGTAAGAGCCTGACAGGAGGAGGAGAATGGAGGACACAGCCACCTCCCACTCACGGCGATGGGGAGGTCCCACCCAGCACAGTGGGTGGTCACCCTGGCCCAGTGGGTCTTCCTGTGACTCTCAGAGGGACGCTGCAGCTGACCTTGGCCACAGCCACCACTCATATTGTCCCACAACACGCACCCACCACTCCGTCAGCAGTCCGGTAACACACCGTGAACACTGGCAGGCTGCTGGAACCATGCCTCCTGTGTGAATGAGAGAACTGACCGGCTGATACCTGTCTTGTTCCACATATGTGGGTAGCCTGTGGGCACATGCGTCTGTGCTCCCATGAATACTGACACCTCTGGAGTCCCTGAGTGAGCAGTTTTGTGTGTGCTGCGACCTTGGCATGTGTCCACACACATGACTTCCTGGCATGGAGACTCTGCAATGAGGTCTGAGTCACCTGTGTTAACAGGAGAATCAGGCTCCTGGGGCCCTGGGGGTGGGGTCCAGGGCTGGGCAAGGAGAGGGGGTGAGGATGCAGTGACCCACACACAGGAATTTGACCTCTGCAGATTTGCTTCTTCTGGCCGTGTCCTGTGCGGGAGGCTCTGTCCTTATCCTCCTCTTCAGATTTGCTTCCTTTTTCTCTCCTCTCAGTTTCTCTCCTCCACCCTACCCTGGCTGGATCATCTCTGTCTTCTCACTCCCTTCCTCTGAATAGGAGCCAGAGCCAGCGCCACCTCTGAAAACAGGTGATCAGAAGGGTCCTGCTTGCTTTCATCTCCAGAGCCCACTGGACCTCAGCCCCTGACTGTTACCTCCACTGGTCAGTTGGCACCTGCATGGTTTATCACGTCCATGAAGCACCCACTTTGTGGCAGGCACTGTGGCTGGCTCTAGAGCTGCAGATGTGCACAACAAGTTGCAGAGATGAGCAGGTTCTGCTTCACAGATCTTCCAGGCTATTGGTAGCAGGCATCAGAAATGGATCAGAGGGCCCAGCATGGCCTAGTGGCTAAAGTCTTTGCCCTGCATGCGCCAGCATCCCATATGGATACAGATTCCTGTCCTGGCTGCCCCACTTCTTATCCAGCTCCCTGCCTGTGGCCTGGAAAATCAGTTTAGGATGACCCAAAGCCTTGAGACCTTGCACCAGTGTGGCAGACTTGGGAGGAGATTCCTGGCTTCAGATCGGCTCAGCTCCAGCCATTGCGGTCACTTGGAGAGTGAATCAGCAGACAGAAGATATCTCTCTCTCTCCCTCTCCCTGTATCTCTCCCTCCTTCTCTCTGTACATCTGCCTTTCCAACAAAAATAAATAAATCTTTAAGAGAGAGAGATGGATCAGAATTACATGCATAAAGGCAAAGCTAAAACAATATCGCGTAAAGGAGCCGGCATTGTGATGCTATGGGGTAAGCCACCACTTACAGCACCACCCACAGACCATATGAGAAGCCCCGGTTGCTCCATTTCAGATCCAGCTACCTGCCAATGTACCTGGGAAAGAGCAGAAGATGACCCAAGTACTTGCGGTTCTACCCCCATGTAGGATACCCGGATGGAGTTTCAAGCTCCTGGTTTGGACCTGGCCCAGCCCTAGCCATTGTGTCCCTTTTGGGAAATAAAAAAAGCAAATGAAAGTTCTGTCCCTTTCTATCTAGCTAGCTTCTCACTCTCTTCTAATCTCTTTCCTTGTCTCTCCTCCTGTCTATCTGTGTAACTCCACCTTTCAAATGAATAAAATACGTTTTCAAAACTTGAAAAAGGAACCACAGATAGAGAAATAGGAAGAGGTCCTCAAAAAGTGCCTAGAAAAGGTACATTATGGGGCCCGGCGCGGTGGCACAAGTGGTTAAAGGTCCTCGCCTTGCACGCCCAGGATCCCATATGGGCGCCGGTTCTAATCCTGGCGACCCCTCTTCCCATCCAGCTCCCTGCCTGTGGCCTGGGAAAGCAGTCGAGGACGGCCCAAAGCTTTGGGAACCTGCACCCGCGTGGGAGACCCGGAAGAGGCTCCTGGCTTCAGATCGGCATAGTGTCGGCCCGTTGCGTTCACTCGGGGAGTGAATCATCGGATGGAAGATCTTCCTCTCTGTCTCTCCTCTCTGTATATCCGCCTTTCCAATGAAAAAACAATAAAAATAAATATTTAAAAAAAAATAAAGAAAGGCAGATATACACAGAAGAGGAAAGACAGAGAGGAAGAACTTCCGTCTGATGGTTCACTCCCCAAGTGAGTACAACTGGAGCTAAGCCAATCTGAAGCCAGGAGCCAGGAGCTCTTCTGGGACTGCCACACAGGTGCAGGGTCCCAAGGATTTGAGTCATCCTCAAATGCTTTTTCCAGGCCACAAGCAGGGAGCTGGATGGGAAGCAGGGCTGCTGGGATTAGAACCAGCGACCATATGGGATCCAGGTGGGTGCAAGGCGAGGACTTTAACCATTACACTATTGCACCGAACACTCCATTAACTTTCTGAAGCAGTTTCATATATCTGTGAGCACCTTTAATGGAGGAAGTAATATAGGATGGGAAATAGTCCAGCAGAAAGTGATCAGCCAGTCCACAGAGCAGTTAAGAAGTGGAGGGGGTAGGTATAAAGGAGACAGAGGGAACAGCCTGTGACAAGGCCCTGAGGCCGGAGCGCCCAGGTCCACTGGTGTCATTGCCATGAGGCCTGCGCAATCAGGGGCAGTAGGTGGAAGCAAGCTGTGCATGGTAACAGTGGCTAGAGACACTGTTCTGTCGGTGTGATGTATTCATCCCTTGACAGAAGCTAAAAGACCATAAGATTTTTGAGCTGCTTCTCTATCTTGCTACAACCTTCGACTTCTCATTCTCTGCCAGAACAAGGAGAAGGAGCCAATTTAGGGACGGTGGGAAAAGGGTGGTTGACAGCTGATACTGCATCCATTTAGGAATCCCCTGGGGCCTATAGGCTGCAGGTCATGGTGCCAGGGAAGAGGGAATCCCACCCCCACCTCCCTCATGTAGCTGGTGCCTGAGTCAGAGGAGAATGCCAGACTGAGCCCAGCTCCCCCTCTCAGCTCTGATTCCGGTTCTCAGCCACAGGCGAAGGCTCAGCCCACCAGTTGAGGTACCCTGTGCCTGGGAAGGGGTAGGAGCCAGACAGGCTGGAGCTGGAGAGACAGCTGAGTGTGAAAGGGACAAGACACAAATCAACTCTTACCTGAGACCTCAGGAATCTGCAAGGGGAGGCCAGGGTCAGGACTGTGTGTCTCACCAAGCCCACATGGTGACCCTGGGGTGGCACCTGCTAACGTGCACAAGGTTGCTGCAGAGATGCCGCTGGCTGAATCAACGAAACCAAGTCTGGCCATCGCCGGGTCACTTGTGCTCAATCCCTGTCATCCACACACTCTTCCAGAAAGCCTTTCTCTGGGGAGAGAAGGCAGGGCTGGACATGAGTTGGCTCCCTAGGACCCTGCAAGACCAGGTGGGTGGGGAAGACCCTCCTCCTCTTCTTCCTCCTTCTTGCCCGCCCCACAGGGTCAGGGAAGCTGCAGCAGACCAGGCTAGCAGGCAGACCCAGCTGTGCCTTCCTCCAGACCTCCCCAACCTCTCAAGGAGTACTCCCAGCAGCTGTGGGTCCCACCCAGCCTGGCCCAACAGCAGCCCCAGGGTCTCCAAGCTCAGGGGAAGTGGAGTTCAACCTGTTCTTCCAGGATGGCCCCCCACAGCCTGACCTCTCCTGGACCTTTCCCAGCCTCCCAGAGGAGCTGGTGAGAGCTGCGGAAGGTCACGCCCTCACCCCGCAAGTGCCGGCCAGGGCTTCAGCCACCAGCCACACCACCCCACCCCTCTGTGTGTGGGATCCCATCCCCACACAGGCCAAGCAGCTGGCCAGACCACCTGCTACAGCAGCGACCAAATGGAAGACCAAGAGGAAGGGCAGAAAAGGGGAGGCTCCAAGGGAGGGTTAGCAGGGGTGACGGGGCGGGAGCCAGAAGTCCTGGACACTAGAACTGGAGGAATCACTTAATACAATGTTGACATTCTATAACCTGCACGAGGCTCTGTCTTAGCCAATGTCATGCAGCAAAACATGTCAGAGCCCAACACAGAGTGAACATCCCCAGGCAAAACTCTTGCCACAGCCCTCCCTTGGCAGACAGAGCTAAGCCAGGGTGTTGCACCTAGAAAAGGGTGCACCTTGAAGAGGAATGCTCTGCCTGTAGCACCAGCATCCCATATGGGCACAAGTTCATGTCCAGCTACTCCACTTCCCATCCAGTTCCAAGCTTATGGCCTGGGAAAGCAATAGAGGATGGCCCAAAGCCTTAGGACCCTGTATCCACACAGGAGACCCAGAGCAGGCTGCTGGCTCCTGGCTTTGGGTAAGTTCAGCTTCAGCTATTGTGGCCATTTGGAGAATAAACCACCAGATAGAAAATCTTTCTCCCTTTGTGTGTAATTCTGACTTTCAAGGGCAATCTTCTACTCCGTCATAGCCCATTCCAGCACATAGGGTGCTTCTCCCTGCCTCCCCATTCTGTCTGTCAGTCCTGGCCTTACTCCTGACTCCCTACAATTGGCAGCCAGCTTGTAGGCTTGTCTCATAGTCACCCAATGCTTACATCTCTTGGTGTGTGTGTTTGGGTATATTTCTTGCCTCCGCCATCAGACTAGAGGACAGCAAGGATAGCCACTAAGTCCCTACTATCACTCTAGGTTTTCGCAGAAGACAAATGACCCCCCAGTTTAGCTTAGAGCTTCCCAGGGCCCAGGCCACTCCCTTAGACTGGGTTTGCCTTGAGAATGTAGCGGGGACACATTTCCACCCTCATGATTGTTTCCAAGACAGCCTGTTGTTGGTCCCTTGCCATGTACCCTGGACCCCAGAGCAGGAGGCCCCTGGACAACGGGCAGTGACAATGCCTGAAGCAGCCAATAGTGTTTGGAGCCATCCCACACACACCTTGGGATATGACCAAGATTGTCAGGCAGTCGGATCTAGTCCTTGCTCATCCCAAGGACTCTTGTTTTTGCCCTAGCTGCCAGCTTCCCGTCTGCTGGCCCTCACCTATGCTGAGGACTGCCTGAATTAGCAAGTCTCAGGGAAACAGGGCAAGAGGACAGACATTGGGGAGGGCGTTTGGCTCAGGGGTTGAGGCAACCAAGATGTCATTACCATGCCCAAGTCCTGGCCTGGCTGTCAAGTCCCACTTCCTGAGCATGCATACCCCGGGAGGCCACAAGTGATTGCTCCAAAACTTAGACACTGCTGCCCATGGCTCAGTCCAGGCTGTGGCAGGCATTTGGGGAGTGATCCAGGAGATGGAGGGGCTCTGTATGTCTCTGTCTCATAAAACAAAGAGCCTTTCTCCACCTGTGGGCCAAGGTGAAGGCAGAAGACCTCTCCCCAAAGCTCCCCAGGAGCCTGGGATGTGGCTGAGCCAATTGTGTACTGCACAGCCCTCAGAGGTGGGCCTGGTGCTGCCAGGACTGGACCTACACCTGGCCTGGCCTCCACTGGCTGCAGGATAAGTCCCTGGGGTGCCACCACACCCGCACCTCAGCTCCCTTCAGGCTCCCATCCAAACTTTTAGGGCAAAGAGTCTCCATTCCCTTCTCCTTCCCCCCCCCCCCCCCCCCCCGGGCCTATGGGCCTATGCAGATGCTGGTGGGGGTGGAGCACGCAGCATGGGCAGTCTCCCCAGGTGAGAGCCCTTCTGACTAACACCCCCATGGCCCCATGGGCTGCCTGCATGCCCACATGTGGGCACACGGGCCCACACACATGTGTGCACCAGGCGAGCGAAGCTGCTATCTGAGACTCCAAGAAGCAGGGGCCTGAAGATAGGGGGCTGGGTTCCCCTAGCAGAGCCCCCCACTCCCTCCTCTGGTGTGCTTGGGCCTGGCCCCTCCCGGGAACAAGGCTGGAATTAATAAGTGGCCAGGCTCCCCAGCCTAATGGGCTCCAGCTGCACAAACATTCCCAGAATTCAGAGCCGGCTCTGTCTGGGGCGGCCCAGGCCTCAGCCCCAGCATTCCCGGCCCCTCCCCATCCCCCTCTTTCCTCCCCCATCTGAGACAGCTGCTCCGGAACTGGGACAACTGGCTGGGGATCGAATCCCAATTCGGCTTTTCCAGAGATGGGGGCCCTCGGGCGGCTGGCCCTGGGGGTGGGGTGTGAGTAGTGAAGGGGGGGACGGGGACGGAAAGAGAGGCACGCCCTGGGGGGGGATGTCAGCGCCCGCCTTCGCTGCCCTGCCCCACCTGGCTCGGCGAGGCGCGCTCGGTGGGTCCAACGCAGCGGCCAGGAGTTCTCACCACCCAGCGTCCTTGGCTGCGGGAGCCAGGGAGGAAACAGCCCACTTGGTGGCTGAAGGTGACCAGCGCTGTCCTCCCTGTTTTCCCATGGGAGCTGAGAACTGGGCCGGGGTGCCACAGGCCGAGGCGAGGTGAAGAGTGCGTGGCTTGTGGAGGCCCCGGGAGGGAGCACCTGAGGAGGTGGCAGGTGCTTCCTGTGGTGTGATTAGCTTCCCTGATCTCCCTGGTAACTGCCCCACCCCCACTCCCGCCTCTCCCTACAGAGCCCTTCACCCCTTCTCTCCTTCCCTCCCTCCCTCCCCCCTTGCACAGGCCACTGCTCACCACACCCCTGTTAGGCCTGCAGGTCTCAGCCAGCATTTCCCCCAGGAAGTCTTCCTTGGTCCCCTAAAGTCTCTCGTGCAGAACTTCACAGCGCCCAGGACTTGGCTGGCCCTGCACCCAGTATGCTGCCTCGGGAGCACATGCTTCCCACAGGGCTGGAGCCCAGGCTGCAGGGCAGGCGCCTGCTCCCAGCCCCTGGGCACAGGTACTCCCTGCGAACTCATGGAGCAAAGAAAGAGGACAAGAGTGGAAGAGAAGCAAATTGGCTTAAAAACTGAAACAACTGGTTGCTCCTCAGCCAATCCAGCTCCCTGCTAATCTGCCTAGGAAAGCAGAGGAAGACAACCCAGGTCCTTCAGTCCCTGCACCCATGTGGGAGACCCAGAAAAAGCTCCAGACTCTTGGCTTCAGATCAGCTCAGCTCTGACCTTTACAGCCATTTGGGGAATGAAGCAGTGGCAGGAAGATATTTCTGTCTCTCCTTCTCTCACTATAAATCTGCCTTTCAAAATAGATAAATCTTGAAAAAAAAAAAAAACTTGGGATGCAAGTTCCTTGAGAGCGAGATTAAGTAGTGGCCTTTTATGCTCCTTTTTGCCTTTAAACTTGTTTATTTATTTGAAAAGCGAAGAGACAACGAGAGAAAAAAGTCTTCCACCTACTGGTTCAGTCTTCAAATGCTCACAATAGCCAAGGTTGGGCCAGGTTGAAACTAAGAACCCTGAGCAACATTCATTTCTTGCACATAGGTAGCAAGGGTCCAAACATTCCTGTTTTTATCCACTGTCTTCCCAGGTGCATTAACAAGAAGCTAGATGAGAAGTAGAGCAGCTGAGACTTAAACCAGTCCTCCACCATGGGATGGATACAGGCATCCCAAGTGGCAGCTTAATTTGCTACAAAAGAATGTTAGCCCATTAAATGTATTTTTCTTTTTTATTTATTTTTTTAAGATTTATTTATTTTTGTTGGAAAGGCAGATATACAAAGAGAAGAGGAGACAAACAGGAAGATACTGCATTCATTGGTTCATTCCCCAAGTGGCCTCATCGGCTGGAGTCGAGTGGATCCAAAGCCAGGAGCCTCTTCTAGGTTTCCTACGTGGGTAGCAGGGTCCCAAGGCCTTGGGCCGTCCTCAACTGTTTCCCCAGGCCACAAGCAGGGAGCTGGATGGGAAGCGGGGCTGGCGGGATCAGAACCAGCACCCATATGGGATCTGGGCACATGCAAGATGACGTCTTTAGCCACAAGGCTGCCCACTGGCAACCCATATGGGCATCGGTTCATATCCCAGCTGCTCCACTTCCCTTTCTATTGCCTGCTTGTAGTCTGAGAAAACAACAGAGGATGCCCCAAAGCCTTGGGATCTTATACCCACATGGGAGACCCAAAAGAAACTCCTGGCTTTGGATCAGCCCAGCTCTAGCCATTGCAGCCACTTGAGAAGTGAAACAGCAGATGGAAGATCTTTCTCTTTGTCTCTTCTTTCTGTAAATCTGCCTTTCCAATAAAAAGAAATCTTAGGGAAAAAAGGAGGGGGATAACTTATTCAAATGGCAGAGTGATAGAGAAAGAAAAAGAAATCTTCCATGTGCTTGTTCACTCCCCAGGGACTTCACTGGTCTACCTGGGAGGCAGGGACCCAAGCTCTCAAACTGTCAATCACTACTTCTCAGGTACCTTAACAGGAAGCTGGATCAGAAGTGGAGCAGCCAGGACTCAAACTGGCGCTCCCATATGGGATGGATGGATGTCACAGTAGCAGATTACCCTACTGCACCACAATTCTAGGGCCCCTTAAATGCATGTGAGACCAGCGATATTTTCAATACCTGATGGCTCACTGGGAGTATTACCTTCGTAAGTGGAAGAGCACCCATATCTCTCACCCCAGGAAGCCAAGTGTTCCAGGTGCGTGGGGGGGATGGAGCCTCTGTCAACTTAGATCCCTGAGTACATGGAATACAGACTGCTCCTGAGCACCTGTGTATGGATGAGAAGACAGAGTAAATCTTCAGTAAGCCACAGGGATGCTGAGGTTGTTCCTGGAGTGTGCTCTAATGGATGCTCTAGCACACCATCCTCACTGCTGGGGAATGGCTGGTCCACTCAGTCATCCCAGCTGAGGATCTGTGCCAAGCTCCTTCCATCCTCACCTTCTTCTCCATTCTGACAGATAGTGCTGGCCTGAGGCCCCACCACCTTCTCTTGGATCAGACATAGCATCCAACTTGCCTTCCATGGCTGCAGCCTGCTTTCTCTCATACCCTTGAGACTGCCTCTGGAATTCTTTTTTATTTATTAAAAAAAAAAAAAAAAAAAGCAGAGTTAGGCCCAGTGCGGCAGCCTAGCTGCTCAAATTCTCACTTAGTATGAACCCAGATCCCATATAGGCGCTGGTTCATGTCTCAGCAGCTCCACTTCTCATCCAGCTCCCTGCTTGTGGCCTGGGAAAGCAGTTGAGGATGGCCCAAGGCCTTGAGACCCTGCTACCCGTGTGGGAGACCCGGAGGAAGTTCCTGGCTCCTGGCTTTGGATCTGCTGAGCTCTAGCCATTGAGGCCACTTTGAGAGTAAGCCAACAAATGCAATATCTTCCTCTTTGTCTCCTCTTCTCTTTGTATATCTGCCTTTCCAAATAAATAAATAAATAAATAATCTTACAAAAAAAGAAAGTTACAAGAAAGGGAGAGAAGGAAAAAGAGACAGAAATCTCCCATCCTCTGGTTCACTGCCCAGATGGCTCAGACATGCACAGCTGGGCCAGGACTAAGCCAAGAGCTTGGAGCTTCATCTGGGTCTCCCATGTGAGTGGCAGGGCCCCGATGAGTTTAGAAATCTTTTGGTGTTTTCCCAGGCACACTGACAGGGAGCTAGATAGGAAATGGAACAGCTGGGATGCAAACCAGCACTCAAAATAGAAGCTGACAGTGCTTAACACACTGTGCCACGGTGCCAACCCCTAAGAGTTCTTTTTCTTTTTTTTTTTTTAAGGATTACTTTTTATTAGAAAGGCAGGCCCACAGAGAGGAGGAAAGAGAAATATCTTCCATCCAATGGTTCACTCCCCTAAAGGCCACATTGGCCAGAGTTGAGCCTATCTGAAGCCAGGAGCCAGGAGTTTCTTCCGGGTCTCCCATGTGAGTATAGGGTCCCAAGACTTTGAGGCCATCAGCAGGGAACTGGATTGGGAAGTGGAGCATCTGGGGCACAAATCAATGCATATATAGGATCCTGGTGCTTGCAAGGTGAGGATTTAGCTGTTAAGCCATCAGGCTGGGCCCCCACAATAATCATGTTCAATCATTTTATTGCACAATTATCTGAGTTGGTGTTTGAGGCAGGGCTTGGCTGGGTGATTCTTCTGTTTGAGGGCACTCTGTGAAACTCAGCGGATGGAAGGCTGGTCTGAAGGATTCAGAATAGTCTCCCTGACATGTCTGGTATGAGTGAGGAGGATGGAAAATCTGGTATCAGCTGGAACCAAGATCTAGAACACCCGCGGGGGGTTTCTCTAACTTGGTCTGCCTTTTTATGTGGCAGCTGAAGCAGCTTAGCGGGAGAGGTTACATGAAATAAAGCTTTGGTGACCCAGACTGCGATGTCCTACAGTCTCACTTCCACCTAAGCTAATTGGTCTGTAAGGCTGTATTTAGCTGTCCGCTTCCCTCAAGGCAGGGACCCTGCTCCATTCAGTGCTGTTAACGCTGGTATCTAGTGTAGCGCGGGTTCAACAAACTTGGGCTGAACTAGCAAGTCAATGAGCAGCTTCTGCTGCCAGATCCAACAGCAATTCATTTCTCCTCTGTGTCTCTGTACTGTTGAACTCCAGCCAAACTGAGAATGGGGGCAAGGGTCTCCAAGGCCAGAAAGGTCTGGGTTGGATTCTTGAGGCCCCAGAGAGACTGCCACCTCCCCAAACAGGAAGGACTTGGTAGTGCAGAGCTGCAGGGGTTTGGCTAGTAGGCTCCAGAGCCAGAGTCCTGCAAGGTGGTTTTTTTTTGTTGTTGTTTTTTTTTTTTTTTTTTTGCAGTGAAGGGAGGGTGTCTTGAAGTCTTCATGCCTCAGTTGAAGTAAACCATAAACACACCTGCTCCAGCTGGGTCAAGCAGGAGGGTCTGGTGGGAAAATCTGGACCTGGGCAGAAGCAGCCCCTCCCTGGGAGAAGGTGAGACTGGCAGCTGAACTGTGCGAGGCAGGTGCTATGGGAGGGAAGTAGTCACCAATCCCCGGGACCAGTTCTCCTTACTCTTGACTACATAAGCAACTCCCCACCCTGGGGCTGTTGTTAAAATGTAGCTACTTCAGAGATCCTGTTTTTGAACAGGTTCCCAGGTGACAGGGGGCCAGGGGGAAATGGGAGCCAGCACTCTGCCTACCAAAGACCTGAACAACTGAGCCCACACACACAGAGGAAGCTCAGGCCTTAAAGAGAGAAGCCCCTATGAGCAACACAGAAAGCTGTCAGGGGACCCTGGTGCAGTAGCCCAACAGCTAAATGCCTCACCTTGCACAAACCAGGATCCCATATGGACACTGCTTCCCATCCAGTTCCCTGCTTGTGGTCTGGGAAAGCAGTCGAGGATGGCCCAAAGCCTTGGGATGCTGCATGCATGTCAGACACCCAGAAGGAATTCCTGGCTCCTGGCTTTGGATCAGCTCAGCTCTGGCTGTTGCAGCCATTTAGGGAGTGAATTAGAGGATGAAAGATCTTTCTGTCTCTCCTTTCTGTGTATCTGCCTTTCCAATAAAAATATGTATATCTTTTAAAAAAAAAAAAAAGCAAGCTGTCAGGGATAGGCACAGGAGACAGCCTCAGGGCAAGCCAGCCAGCCAGGGATCTGGTAAGTTCGCCAACCTTTATGTTCATCCAATCTGTGCCCAGGCAGTCATCTCTAGTGGGTCCCACAGCTGGCTTCCACTGTAGCAAGGAGTGCTCACTCCTGGGCATCCCCTCCTGCCCTGACCACTGCCTTGGGAAAGGACCCATTTACTTTGGTGGCTCAGAGTCTCTGGTCTCTGCTGGGCTCAGGTTGTGTGGACCAAATGATCCAAAGGCTTTTGTGAACTGCATTTGATGGTGTTATCGCTGGGCACCATCTGACACCCAGAAAGCCTTCAGTACACGTGGTGGCTCCCACACAAAGGGGAGAGCGTGCTGGCTAAGGATTGGAAGGGGTGTGAACAGGGAGCTAGGGTGAAAGAGGAGGACAGGTGAGAGAGGAGCCTGGGTGTCAAGGGTGGGGATGAATGGGTGGGCAAAGGCTGTGGTATTCTAGAACCTGCTAGAGGATTTCCAGCTGCCTCTGGAAGGCACTGGGCTCCCTTCTGGCCCTTCCGTGGGAGCCAGTATGGTGGTGCGACATGCTAATCCTCTACTTGCAAGTGCTGTCATCCTGTGTGGATCATGGGTAACTGAGTTAAGTCCTGGTTGCTTCACTTCCCACAGCTCCTTGCCTATGGCCTGGAAAGCAGCTCAAGTGCTTGGGCCCCTGTAGCTGTCGGGGAGACAAAGGAAGCGCCTAGCTCCTGGCTCCAGACCGCCCAATCCAGGACACTGTCTGCTCTATTCCCAGAATTCCCTATAAGCCACATCCACTCCAGAGTTCCCTAGGAGGCCCAGACAAGAGGAAAATGCTGACTCGATGTGGACTACATCCAGGGCTGGGAAGGGGTTCTCCTGTGCCCCTTGACCCCAACTCTAGCTGTCCTCAGCAGGCAGACACACTCCCTCCCTCCGGTCTCTTTTTCACTTCCCCCATCCCAACCTGTGCCCCGACCCCTGCTGGGCTCCAACACCCCAGGCAGCTGCAGAGGACCAGCTCACCCCAGGCCCTAGCAGGGGAAGGAGAATGGGGAGCCAAGTGGGCCTGGGGAGCTGAGACTCCAGCCTGTGCCCTCCCAGCATGGGGCTGTTGAAGCTGGTGATTAGTGGAGTTAATTATCTGCAAGCCATTTCCGATTGGCACCAGCCCACCCACCCACAGAGCTTACTTGGCCTAGGGTCAGGATGCTGGGCTATCAGCTACTCCGCCGTTTGTATGTTGTTTTGAGCTGGAGTGAGTTTCCTTACCCTTACCAAGGCCAGAAGGTAGCAGTCTTTCCCCCTCAGAGGCCCCCCACCACCTTCATTCCTTCCCACCCCAAATGCTTGCCTTCACCACCCCCTACACAAATCCCTTCCCCCTTGCCCACGCCTGCCCCTAGGTTTGGAATGAAGTCACAGGGCTGTGAATTCCATAGGGCCCAACATAAACACTCTGATTGGGGCTAATTATAAGGGCCTGGTTGGGAGGCTGGAGCCTTCACAAGTTTTGGCTTTCAAACAAAGGGCCAGGGGCTCAGACTCCTTCGCAGGCTACCCCAGAAAATGAGAAGCAATCCCAAGCTATCTCGGCTGTTCCCCCTGCCCCTGGCAGCCTGAAACTCAACTCATGACATGCCCCAAGTCCCACCTTATCCTCTCTCAGTCCTCAAGTTTTTCCAGGCCTCCGGTTCTGGGGCCTTCCCAGATGGCTCAGAGGAGCCACAACTGTGCTGGGGAAGCCAGCTGTGACAGCCACAGCCCTAATTAGCCGGCTTCAAAGCCAGCTAGAGAGGCCACCCGCGCCCGTGTGTGTGCCCTGCTCACTCAGGCGAGCACGACACTGCTGTCCTAATCAGGGGAGAGCGTGAGGGCAAGAACAGAAGAAACATGGCCCACCACCCGTCACCCTCAGGAGCTTCCAGGCTCTGGCTGACCCTGGGCATCAGGTGGCCATGCTGGGAGCACTGGACAGGGTGTGAGGCTGCAGCCCCGCATCATCAAGGACCTGTTACAGAGTCCTCAAAGCAAGCGTAGGCTCTGAGCCAGAGAACCCATCCTGAAGTATCTGTCCAAATTCATCAGAAAAGTGCTTTGATTTCCAGCACTGGCTCTATGTAGATGTCATCCGAGGCCATCCTCAGGGTCCCTGCCAGAGATGCCCCCATCTTTCCACAGACACTGGCATGCCGGGCTCAGAGGAGAAACACTCCCCACCAAGGTCTCAACTGCCAGGACAGAGGGCACTCAGAAGAGTTCACAAGGGGAAGCTTGTTTTAGTGCAAAAACTTCAAACTCTATGCATATTTGCCTACTTCCATCCTTAACTTTCTAAAAAGTGCTTTTTTTTTTTTCAATTTGAAAGTCAGAGAGACTTATCATCTGGCATGATAGTATAATAGTTAAGGTACTCGCCTTGAATGCGCCAGGATCCCATATGGTCGCCAGTACTAATCCCAGCAGCTCCACTTCCCATCTAGCTCTCTGCTTGTGGCCTGGGAAAGCATTGGAGGACGGTCCAAAGCCTTGGGACCCTGCAGCCGTGTGAGACCTGGAAAGAAGTTCCTGGCTCCTGGCTTTGGATTCGCTCAGCACCGGCTATTGTGGCCACTTGGACACAGAATCATTGGACAGAAGATCTTCCTCTCTGTACATCTGCCTTTCCAATAAAATAAATAAATCTTCCTTTAAAAAAAAGAGAGAGAGAGAGAGAAGCAGAGAAAAAGAGCTCTTCCATCTGCTGCTTCATTCCCCCAGTTTACTGCAATGGCCAGGACTGGGTCTAGTTGAAGTCAAAACCCAGGAGTTTCATCTGCATCTTCCAAGTAGGTTACAGGAGCCCCAACACCTGAGCCATCTTCGGCTGTTTTTCCAGGACACTACAGAGAGCTGGATCAGAAGCAGAGCAGCCAGGATTTCAACCAAATCTTTAATGGAATGCAGGTGACACAGGTGGCGGGTTTTACCCAGCCCCCAATCCACAAACTTGCTAAAGACTCTCCTCAAGTATCTCACCCATGAGGTCCTTCCATCTGTTTTTCTCCCCCAACTGCAATAGCCTTCTACCCTCCTCCGCTCCCGCCCCAATTCTGTCATGTAGCATCTTGCCATTGCTGTGTTAGGAGCACATGGTACGGCATGACTCACCTGTGATAGGGAGGGGCACCAGGTTTTGTAGGCAGTTTGCCCTCCTGCTCCCTTCCAGTACCCAGCGTGATTAACAGTCAAGGGATGGTGGAGTCTAGGGAGGTCACAGCTGCCTGGGAGAAGTGGACACAGTCAAACACTCAAGAACCAGCGGCCAGGTAGACCTGGGGCTGGGAATCTGACTGGGTCCTGAGTCTGCGGAAAGGGCAGAGACAGCCTGGAAACCTCCCACACCATGATGGTGCTGGTCATGTGGCTCCTGGAAATGGAAAGGGATGAAGGCGATGGAGTTAGAGCAGCAGAGCAGGCTGCTACTCTGAGCAGACAGCATAGGGTGAGAGGGTGACCATGCCCAGAGCACGCCTGGGTGGCCACACAGATATAGGCCACGGGCACAAAGAGAACCTGCAGCCCATTCACAGGATGGACCAAGGTGAGAGAGCAGTCTCAAGGCGGGATTTCCTTCTGGTCCCTTGCCCTCCACCAATCAGAAACCCTCACTCTCCCTGAGGGAGGGGCCATCCCCACCCCTCAGCCCACAGTGTAAACCCTTCTTGCCCAGAGGCCACCTGCAGGTGGGGCGTACTGCAGACTACCTTTCCCACCTTCCTCTGAGTTGTTTCATTAGGGAAAGGGGCGTTGGGTGGGGGCTGGTCCCTACCCTACCTTTCTGCCCTTAGGGCCTGAGTTCATCCTCTTCCCCCAGCAGCCTGTTCCATCTGCTCCAAGTTTTCTCAGGTCCTCTCCTCTTCTGCTGGAGTGGGGGGGTGGCACTAGCAGCAGTGCCCTCCCCTCTGCCAGGAGGGCCAGGGACTTTTGCACCCAGAACACACAAGAGCTGGGCTCATGGGAGGAGTTCCTCCCCAGGTCTGCAGTGGGAGGCCAACATTCCTCTTCCCACTGGGCTCAGTCCCAAGTTCCGGAAAATCCCACCCCATTCCAAGGCACTCCCAATTTGGTCGTAATTTAGCTCTTTCCTGCAGCCCCTTTGGGCCTTCAGTCAGGAGCCTGGAACAAATGGAGCTGTGGGCCAGCAGGGCCAGGGACACTTGCCCCCACCAGCCTCTGCGATAGCTGGGGGAACTCTGTTGAGGCTGCATATTCAGCACCATTTGATACACAGGGGGCTGGACTTAGACTCCGGCATAAATGACTGGAGGGTGGGGGGCTTTGCCCACCCAACCCTGCAGGTGACTTCAATTTACACCCAACAGCCCAGTTACCCTCCCCCAACACAAACTGCCTGGACCCCAAGCGGGTGGGTGGGAAGGTCCCACTTGTCCCACCAGCATTTTAACTAAAAGAGCAAGGTCTCCAAGCTGTGGATCAACTCCCCACCCCCAAACAAGCAAGGAAGGGGGGCAAGAGGAGAGAGGTGGGAGAGAAAAGGAGGAGGTGTGGTTTGGTTAAACTAATAAAATGTTACAACCCAGTTAAATACAATTAAACGGCTAGATTTCTCAGATAATTAAATGCACTTTATTATAACGATTATTAGCTTTTAATTTACGCTATTATTAAAAAAAAAAAAACAGGAGAGGGTGAAAATCGAGTTATGAGGCAGATCGGTCCCCAAATCAATCTTTGGGAATGAAAAATCCTCAAACACTCCCAAATGGTTGAGGGTAGTGATGCATTGGAAACTGCAGTTCTTGCAACAGTCCCACTGCATCATTGCTCAGGCAGCTAGCTAGCTTCAGAATGGAGTCTGGACTTGTATTTGCGGGGAAGATAAGAAACATCTGTTGTAAACATTCTATCAATCCTGCCCTATAGAATGTCATGTAAACACTCACCCACCCCCACAGCCACAAAGATCCGGCTCAAAGCCCTTTGGTGTTCTCTGTCTCTGCCGTGTGCACGTGTGTGCATGTGTGTGTGCGCGCATTAAGTATAAAAAAACCAATATTCTGTCCAACTAAAAATCCTACCAGTCTACCAGTCCCCCTCCCTCCAACCCATCTTTTTTTAAATTTTTTTTTTTAAAGAAAAAGCCCCAAACAATAACAAAAACCCACGCCAAAACACACAGAACAGGCTTGCAAACTACTAGCCTGAATGCAAAGCCTACCCTGGAGGAAGAGCAAAACCGGTTCGCAAAGCAAGGGAGAGAGGGGCAAGGTCCCCACCCTCCCAGATCTGCCAGCAAACGCCCCCAGCTACGCTGTGCCAGACCGGGTCAGCGCTCTTCCCAGAGATCCGGGGAGTCTGCGTGGGCCAGGGCGGCAAGAGGCCGGTTTCAACAGGCGCTTTCCCAAGGCGTTCTGCACCCAGGGTCCGGGCAACCAGTGCAAAAGCAGAAGAGCTTGAGGAGAAAAGCTTCCCAGAGGCCTCCCTCTCCCCACGGGCTGTCGCGATTTTTATTTTTCCGACTTCCCTCCGTTGAGAGCTTTCCAAAGATGGGCGCAGGGGAGATGGGGGGTGGGGGACGCAAGGGAGTCAGGACACGTGAGTTGGGAGCGAAAGGAAGCGGAGGCAAACCAAATATAAGGCCTCTGGTTCAGGAATACCCACCGGCCTAGTGGCAACCAGGAGGCTCGCAAAGTTGCCTTTGAGAGAAAAAAATGAATGGAAGTGGAGCAGCTTCTCCCCGGCCGCCTCGCCTGCGCTCCTGACCAATCACAAAGAAACACACCCTCCTCCCAGCCCTGTGCCCAAATCACCCAAACCCGAACCCGATGTGCTTGTGAAAAGGGTGCGAAGCAAGAGGACCCCAGCCCCTCAGCGGAAAGCAAGCCGCCGTCTCCCCGCCCCCACCTGCCACCACAAGCCTTCTACCCTGGCCGCCCTGGCGGCTGCTTTTTCCTTTTAAATAGAAAGTATGTAATTCAATTTACAAAGATTATTTACAGTTTTAATTACAAACCTGGGGCGCGGGGGGGGGTGTTTTTCTAATATAAAAAAAGCGACTTAAAAAAAAAAAGGAAAGAAACGGTTCGACCGTCCTTTATTATTACTTCAAAAAAAAAAAGGGAAGCCAAGCACCCCAGGCCCCTGTCCTGCTCACACGGTGGTTTCGCCGTGCCGGCTGTTGGTGAGGCGCGTGTAGAATTTGCGCCACGAGTGCAGCGTCTTGCCGGACCAGATCCAGAAGCCAGACGTGATGCCCACGATGAGTGTCATGAGGTATTTGATCATGTAGACGGTGAAGTCGGGCGACATGCGTGGCGTGTAGTGAGCGGGGCATGGGATGGCCAGGCTCCGGCAGTGCTGGCTGACCCAGGAGCGCTCCCAGTGCTCGCGGAAGGCCTGCTCGTAGAAGTAGCAGGCGATGACGATGGTGGCGGGCACCGTGTAGAGCACGCTGAACACGCCGATGCGCACCATGAGCCGCTCCAGCTTCTCGGTCTTGGTGCCGTCGTGCTTCATGATGGTGCGGATGCGGAAGAGCGACACGAAGCCCGCCAGCAGGAAGGACGTGCCAATGAACAGGTAGACGAATAGCGGCGCCAGCACGAAGCCCCGCAGTGGGTCCAGGCTGTTGAGGCCCACGAAGCACACGCCGCTCAGCAGGTCGCCGTCGATCTGGCCCATAGCCAGGATGGTGATGGTCTTGACGGCAGGCACGGCCCAGGCGGCCAGGTGGAAGTACTGGGAGTTGGCCTCGATGGCCTCGTGGCCCCACTTCATGCCAGCCGCCAGGAACCAGGTAAGCGAGAGGATCACCCACCAGATGGAGCTGGCCATGCTGAAGAAATACAACATCATGAAGAGGATGGTACAGCCCTCCTTCTTGGTGCCCTGTACCACCGTGCGGTAGCCGTCGTCCGAGAAGCGCTCGTTGCACACCACTCGTTCCTGCAGCACGAAGCCGGCGATATAAGCCAGTGACACCATGGTGTAGCAGCCAGACAAGAAGATGATGGGCCGCTCGGGGTAGCGGAAACGCTGCATGTCCACCAGGTAAGTGGTGACGGTGAAAAAGGTGGAGGCACAGCACAACACGGACCAGGTGAGGATCCAGAGGCGTGCAAAGCGCGTCTCCTCCTGCGAGAAGAACATGGAGCCGTCAGGCCGCGCAGGTTCGCAGGGTGCTGCGCAATCGCGCTCACCCAGGAACTTGTAGCTCAGATATGACGGCACCTTGAGGACGCGCGGGCAGTGGAACGGATGCTCCAGCGTGGCGTAGCGCGGGGGCGCCCCGCCGCCTCCACCTCCCGGGCCTCCGGGGGTGCCACCGCCTCCCGGCTGTAGCCCCGGCGGTGGCGCGGTGGTGAGCAGCGCAGGCGCCCCGTCCTCCGAATGGTTCTGCCCCACGCAGATCTGCTCGGCGCCGTGGCGCGGAAAGTGCTCGCATCGCAGCCGCTCGGGCCACTGGAAGCCGAACTTGTTCATGAGCGCCTCGCAGCCCTGGCGGGCGCGCTCACAAATAGACCGACACGGCGGGATGGCCTGCTCCAGCACGGTGCACACGGGCGCGTACATGGAGCACAGGAAGAAGCGCAGCTCGGGCGAACATTGCACCTTCACCAGCGGGTAGAACTGGTGCACCTCGAGGCCCGCGTCCTCCTGGTTCGTGTGGCCCAGCAGGTTGGGCATGATGGTCTGGTTGTAGGCGATATCCGTGCACAGCGGGATGGAGATGGGCTGGCAGAAGCCGTGGTCCGGCACCGAGATGCCCTTCTCGCCGTGGAACTGGGCCGGCCCGGCAGCGGGCAGCAGCAACAGCAGTAGCAGCTGTGGTGGCGACCTCAGCAACAGCAGCAGCAGGCGGGGCAGGGCGCTGCGGGGCAGCATGCTGGCCGCCGCCGCCCCCCCGCCCGCCCCCGCCCCCAACCCCGGGACCACGCGCCTTCCCCGCGGCCGCCCGCCCGCGGCCGGCGCCTCGCGCGCCGCTTAGCAAACTTTGCTCGCGGCTGCAGAGTTGGGGAGGCCGACCGGGGGAGGGGGCGGCGCGCCTGCCGGCTAGCTCGCCGTGCTCCAACTGAGCCACCCCAGCCGCGGAGCTCTGCTGCCCTCTCCTCCTCCTCCTCTAGCCTCCCTTGTCCCCCCCCCACCCCGCCTCTCTCCTTCCTCCACCCGGCGACTCCTTTGTGCCTCCTCCAGCCCTCACCCCGGCCCCTCCGATCCCAATTAGTCGGTTTCAAGGGGGCCCCGCTGGCGGCCCCGCCCTCTCCCTTAGCCCCCTAAAAAAGGGATCCTTGAAACCGCCCCGTCGAGCGCTAAGTACCAACCCAAAATCTGCCTTCGGCCAATAAGATTTAAACCCAAGGACCAGCCCCGAGGGCCGGATTGGTCGACCGCAACATAATGAGATCAGAAACCAGATGCCAACAAAACTGCGCTCCCCCCCCACCTCTGGGCTTTTTAAAGAGACAGCTATTATTATATTTAGAGCCGTCGGCCCCGCCGGGGATTGCCTAGGAGCCGCCGCGGCGGGATCCTGAGACACCCGCGTCCCGGAGCCGCGGCAGACTCGGCCCCACGCGAGCCGAGCTCATCTCTGCGCCCTAGCCCGGCAGGAGCATTCTGCATCGTGGCCTTCTCGCCCCCCTCGCTTCTCCAGCCCCAGCCCCAACTACACCAACCTAATTTTTCAACTCCAGTGAAAAAAATCTCAAATTCAGAAATTAGGTTCAAGAGGTTTCTTCACAGTGGAGGAGTTCGCACAGACTTTACTCCTCGTGCGGTCCACACCAAAGTTTGCACGTGGCCCACGGCAGAAACTCCTAGGAGCTCCTCGTCGATCCCCCTACACGCACCCTTAAATAACCCTCGGGGCGTGCGAGGGGCGGGGGCACCGTGAGTCTGTTTCTTTAAGAAGCTCTTAAAGGGGCCCCCACTCCCGGGCGTAATTGCCCTGTAGCTAGCACAAAGGAGCCCATTATGGTTCTTTGTGTTCGGTGGCACCTCAAAGTGAGAAAACTCAGGAACTGGGAGGCCCGGAGCTGGGGATGGGGGCGAGGGAGGGGGCGCGGTGAAGCCGGACCGCCCGGAGCCGCGGTTCCCACCTCCCCCTTCTTCCCAGGCAAACTTTAATTATGCAAAGTAAAGTATAGTTGCGGAGAACCCGAGGTCTTAATCGAAACTTAATGGCTGCTGGTGGTGGGGTGATGGGCAGTTTTGAGGCCAGACCCGACTTTCCAGCAGGCGAGCGTTGAGGATGTGGGGGGATTTTCCTTCTCATTTCCCACCCCTGCTCCACCCTCTAAAAGCTTCCAGATCTCTTCTCGGGGGCAAGGAGAGAGTTTTAACCTAAACCTTAAGTGGTTCCACACCAGAAAGGGGTGGGGCGTGTGGGAGGGAAGTGGCTGGAGGTGGGGGTGTTCTCTCTCCTCCTCTCTCACCTGGCTGAGGGGTGGCCTGCAGAATCCCTGCTTATTTAAAAATATTTTCTTTTCCTTTCCAGGATTTTTAAACTGGGCTGGGGAGGGAGCTGTGAAGGAGAGGGTTGGTGCTAGGGAGAAGGGAGGATTTGCATGCAAATCTCCTTGGGCCAGATACTGGATGGTGGAGCATTTATTTGGGGGGTGGGGGAGGGGACGTAAAACTAGGAAGGAAACTTGAGTTTAAAAAGTTCTTTTGCTTCTTTGCGGGGACCTGATCCCTCCCCCCCCCCCCCAGCTGCCAGCCATCCTCTTATGCCCATGGATTGCTTTTAAAAAATAGAAAGAGCTTGGAAAGAACTAGGAGGAGGCAGGAAGAACAGGAACCTCAAGGATGGGTCCTTGGGATCAAGTTTGTCAGCCTTGCCAAGTTTGGTGTTCCTCCCAATTGAATGAATGGCGTTGTTGTAGGATTTTTGACTCCGAGTATGGCAGCAACCTCAAATTCTTGTCTCGCAGGAAAGAAGAATTTTCATGCGGACACAGTTTAGTTTTAACGCAAGATTTATTAGAAAAGCTGAGAAGACTCCCGTCATAGCGACGGGAGGGGGTTTTGAGATAGAAAGGACCCTTACCCCCTGCCATAATGGCAGGAGGAAAAGTAAAAAGACCCTAGTGCTCCATAGTGGCAGGAGGACAAGAAGAACCCTAGTGCTCTGCCATAGTGGCAGGAGGAAAATAAGAACCCAAAACCTGAATGAATGGTGGGGAATGCACCTTTTAAAGGTTTCCCTCAAAGAGGTTTCTCCATAAACAAAGAAAATTCCTGATTTCCATGGTACCTGGCCTTGGGACAAAAGGCCACAGAGGTGCCAGACATAGGACATTCCAGGCCTTGGGCAGATGTGTATTACTTCTTCCTGCTCTCCTTTCAATGATAAAGAGATCGGCCTGAGGTCCTCCCACGATGGCCAGAGGTAGTGGCCAATACTTCAGGTGGGGAATTGATATACTAATAGCACCCCTGTCCCTTGGAAGAGAATCCTGGTGAATCCAAGACATGGTGGGGGAATTCTCTTTTACTCGGGGACCCAGAATACCCTAACTGCCTACTACCCACTCTAACTCCTCTCTCAGGGTCAAGATTTCCAGTTCTTTGCAACTTGTAACTGCTCCTCACTGACTCTAAAATCAAAGGCATTTGCTTTTTTCAATGTTTAATGTAATTTTTTAAATACTTATTTATTTGTATTGGAAAGGCAGATCAGATCTAAGGATAGAAAGAAAGATCTTCCACCAATGGCCACAATGCCAGAGCTGAGCTGAGCTGAAGCCAGGAGCTTTTCCTGGGTCTCCTACATGGATGCAGGGTTCCACGGCTTCAGACCAACTTCTATGGCTTTCCCAGGCTACAAGCAAAGAGCTGGATGGGAAATGAAGCAGCCAGAATTCGAACTGGTGCCAATATGGGATCCCAGCACTTGGAAGGTAAGGATTTAGCCATTTAGCCATTGCACCTGGCCCAGTGTTTTAAAACAATTTTTTAAAAGATTTATTTTCACTGCAAAGTCAGATATACAGAGAGGAAGATCTTCCATCCAGTGATTCACCCCCCAAGTGGCTACAATGGCCAGAGCTGAGCTGATCCAAAGCAGGAGCTCAGATCCTCTTCTGGGTCTCCCACAGGGGTGCAGGGTCCCAAGGCTTTGGGCCGTCCTCAAGCAGGGAACTGGATGAGAAGTGGAGCCAGAGGGACTAGAAAGGGCACCCATATGGGATCCCGGTGCATTCAAGGCAAGGACTTTAACTGCTAGGCCTCCGCACTAGACCCTAATTTTTTTTTCCTGCATTGTTTCCATTTTCATGCCCCACAGCAGTCTAGGAGTGGTCCCCAAGGACCTACCCACCCTGAACTGTGCTGCCACTGCCCTTTCCCACTCAGTCTCCAGGGTGTCTTTTATAATTATTTGTTTCATGTTTATTTTATTTATTTGAAAGGCAGAGAGATCTCCCGTCCACAGATTTACTTCCCAAATGCTCTCAACAGGGAACTCACCACTCAGCTCCCTGACAAAGGTGCCCAGGATCTAACTGACTGGAGACTGCTACCTCCCGGGGTGCCCAGCAGCAGGAAGTGGGAGTGGAGATAGAGCACCGCTCTGCAGGGGGTGCCAGCATCCTGCTGTGCCACAAAGGAAGATGACAGGTGCCTACACCCCATCCAGGAAACTGATAGGAAATTGAGAGCAAATTTCCAATGTAAACACACTACCTTCAATTTCCTTCCAGAACAAACCTGCTTTTCCTGCCCGCCCTCCTGCCAGGCCTGAGTAACAGTTATCCCTGCTCTGTCCATCCCAACGCAGATGGGGAGCTGGAGCCAGCAGAAACGGAAATAAGGGCCCATTCTTTCAGTCCCTTGGTCTTCAGTACTCTTCTGTTGAAATTTCTGATTTCAGATCACCTCCAGTAGGTGCACAGGAAATAAACAATAAATAAATGTGCCTCCAGCAGGAAGTTGCAATCAGAAACAGAGTCAGAGGCCCCGCTCCTATAAAGGCTGCCAGTGGCCCAAGTTCAGCCTTACCTGAAGCTGTGTGCCTTCATTCACTTAGCACAAACCTGTTGAGTACCAGCTATGTTTTGGTGGCCTCGGGGTTGTGGAGGGAATATTTAACTGGGTGGGGGATCTGGCTGAGTCAAGGAGTGAAGTGGGAATGAAATAAGCCAGCAAGGGATCAATCATGTAGGCGCTTGGGACTGCCTGTGTAGGGTGGGACTGAGCTGCAGGAATCAGGGGCTGGAGAAGCAGACTGAGTGGGCAGGTGGTATGTACCAGGGCACAGTGGGGTGTGGTAGATGCAGGCACAGTCCTTTGGCCTGGTTAGAACCCTGCGAGTTTTTGAGAGTGCCATCCAGAGGCTGCCAGTAAGCATGGACGCTGTACACAGTCTGGTTTCCTGGAGAAGGCGCTGCGCTGCAGGCTTGAGGGTTTCAGCCAGCGCGGGTACACAGTTTGGAGGAGTCCTAGGAAGAGATCTGGAGCAAACAGCGGGAAGGCAGAGGCACAGTGTATATTCTCACTTGACTTGCTAGAAGTCAAAGAGTCCAGAGGAAAGGAAAGGAGACATGAAGGGAGGCTGGTTCTTGGGCACCAGTATACATTCTGATAGGGGCTAGCCACAGCAGGGCGGGGGACTCCGGTTCACAGTAATCGGCTACATGTCTTTTTTTTTTTTTTTAAGATTTATTTATTTTTATTACAAAGTCAGTTATACAGAGAGGAGGAGAACAGAGAGGAAGATCTTCCATCCGATGATTCACTCCCCAAGTGACCACAATGGCCGGTGCTGCGCCAATCCAGAGCCAGGAGCCAGGAACTTCCTCCAGGTCACCCATGCAGGTGCAGGATCCCAAAGCATTGGGCTGTCATCGACTGCTTTCCCAGGCCACAAGCAGGGAGCTGGATGG